TGGCTGCAGGGACAGGCTGGGGAAGGGGGTGGCAATGGGGAAGCTGCCACCAGGTCCAGCTGGGGCTCACCCATGGGGCGGCTCCTGGCAGGGAAGGGGCTTTGTGCCAGTGCCCCGCTGTGCTTCACAGCTTCTGGCCCTTTTGGTCAGGCTCAACAGGGAGATTGATGTCTCAAAGAGGATTAATTTCCTAATCCTCTTGTGAGCCTTGTGAAAGCAGGAGGCTGCGGAGGAGGAACACAGCAAGGGAGAAGCCGAGGCACCAGTTCAGCCCTTATCAGACCCTGGAGAATCTTCTCCATGGGTTAGCTAACTGGCAGTGGGGATTCTGGGGGGACCATCCAGCCAGGGGACCATGCCAGGGCAGTTTTTGGGGCCAGAGTAGTTACAGCTTTGCTTCCTGGAGGGATTTTTCTGACACCTGAAGAGGAGTTGAATTCGTGCTCTCACCTCCATGTAACTGGGCTTAGGAAGCCCCAGTCACAGATTCTGTGGGGGATCAGGCTCCAAGAGCACTGTCCCCCAGTGTCCCCACAAGCCTCTGTTTGTCTCCAGCTGGGCACTGTGGGCACTTGAAGGACAGTTGGTGATTGCAGCTGGGACAGGGGCTGGAGATCATGTTTTCTGCATGTGCTTGTGCAGCGGATGCTCCAGCTTCCCAACAAAAGCTCTTACACAGTCCTGGGACACCACTGGCTGTTGCACACACACACACACACGCACATGCACACACAGTGCACTGCATCTGTTTGATAATTAGTGCCAATCGTCCTCTGGGTTGTTTGGAAAGATGGAGCCACCTCACATCTGCACAAAGCAATGACAAGCCCATGTCCGGCCCCATCCAGTGGACACCCTCCCACCACTCTGCTTCATGCCACTACTGCCCACTTCTGCAAACAGTCACAGCACTCGGCCAAAACCTCCCTGTGCTGATGGTGGTCTGGAGCAGGCTGGGGACTGCTGGGACCCTCAGGGCTGGAGCGCTCCAGCATCCAGTATGGACCTGAGCTACAGCAGGATTTTGTCACACCACAATAATTAACACTCAACTGACACTGTGGCTATCCGTGTCCCCCTGACCCTCTCCCCAGACATAGAGGTGTGTTCTAGATGAGGAAATACTCTTTAAGGATGAGTTTGGGTTTTTTTCCACAAGTCTGTGACTAAGTACCAACAACATCAGCTCATCCCATGGGATCTCCTGCTGGCTGCCAGCACCCATGTACTAGGTAGGTGCAGTGCCTGTCTCCCTGGGCACAGGGACTGGCAGAGACCCAAGGCTTGCACATTCCTTGTGGACTACTGTCCCTGGACCAGGGGAGGAAAAGTCTCAAGGAGTGAATTTCACCACTAATGCCTGCAAGTAATGTGCTCTGGGAAAGCCTGAAGTTGACCCAGACTCATTTCCCCTCAGTCCATCTCCAGAGCCAGCAGCTTGACCATGCCCTCATCCCTGAACCCTACAGGTCCTGGTGCTGGCGTGGGCAGGGGCTGTGCCAGGGCCCTGTCATGACACAGGTGTCTCCTGGGGTCCGGGGGTGGCTTTCAAACAGGTTGTGACAGAGCCACGGTCCTGGAAAGGTGAACAGGAGCCCCAGGGCCAGGCTGTGTTTGTTTATCCTGGTGATGGAGCACACAACAGCGAAACAAAAGGTCAGACCCTGTTGCCCTGGGAGATGGTTTTTGAAGCTGCCTACCGTCCTGCTGGGGCTTGGATGGGGCGGCCCCAGCGCTTGTCATGTCAAGTTATTTTTGTAATTTTGGCTGGTAATAGGTCTGAAGCAGTCTCCCAGACGCTGTGAGCTTCAGGGGTACACTGATACAGGACCAGAAGGGCCCTAAACACACCAAAAGAGAAGCAGCCAGTCCTGAGGCTTTGGAGGCAGATTCCCATCCTTCAGCTCCTGCAGTCAGCCAGACCACAATCTGCTTCCTTTGTTGGAAGGGTCAGGCACACACAGGCCCTCCAAGCATCCCAAAAGGTGGGGGGAGTCTTCATCTACTTCATCTACCATTGGCCCATCTGAGTAATGTAGTGACATAAACTTCTTCATACTTTGGCCAGGCTTAAGGCGGATGCTTTGAGCTCGCTGCAGGCAAGGGTGGACGGAGCACTGTCAGCAAGCACTGCCAGGGAAGGAGGGCAGGCTCTGACCAGCCCCTTCCAGGCTGTTCCCAGATGACTCTGCTTTTACTCCCGACCCTCTTTGTTTGAGCTGACACCATTGTCAACTCGACACATGGCCTTGCCTGGCATGGAGATGGAGAGGGGACTGTGCCCAGGAGTCCCAGCTGACCTGCCTCTTCCTAACGCTTCTCCATTGCTGGACCTCAAAGACTGACATGGCAAAAGTCCGTCTCCTTTTTGTAAGTGGGGAGACTGAGGCAGGCAACCCCACAATGCCTGGGCTGGGAGCCCAGGGGAAGGCAGTGAAGAAGCAGTGAGACAAGGCAGGAGTCCTGATTCAAGGTGTGAGAATGTCCCTGTCCCACCCCAGCAGCTGTGTCCCATGCTAGGAGTGAGGTACATCAAACTGGTCCCTACACTTTGCCTCTACATAAAAAGCCCCAAGTCGTTGCTTCAGCTGGGTACCTTGGGGCTTCTCCTCCCTCTGGCAGGAGCAGGTAGATAGGACATAGACTGATCTTGGAAGAAAGGCACCTTCTCTCTGGGCATGAGACCAGCAGGGAATAAAAACCATGCATATCAGCCCTTGTCTCGCTGCTTCTGGTTGTCAGCAGCACAAGGAGCTTTTGTGTTTACTCTCTACTCAAGGGCAATCGCCCGTCACTAACAACATAATATCCCTCGGCCCCGATGCACTGAGCCTGGTGAGGCAGCAGGACGGAGCCGGTGGGAGGGCAGCACTGCCAGGGAAGGACAGGCACCCCCCAGGACATCAGGACAGAGGTACAGGATCTGTTGAGCTGGGCTTGTGGTCATACACGTGGTCATTGGCCTGAGCTGTGCTGGGGACAGTGTCAGGACCCTCTTTCTGGGCTTAGACCCATGAATGAGAAGCTCGAGCTTGGCTCAGGACACACCATCAAGGGTCTGATGGCAGCTTTGGGTGTCCAGTGCCCGGGAGGTGAGGTGGACACATGGTGCTGGGTGTGAGGCAGCTGGCACATCGGCTCCCTGGTGCTGACTCAGTTTCCCCATCTGTAAAATCCGATTTCTTGGATTTTGAACTCTATCCAGCTCTGAAGGAGGGACCCGACAAGCAGTCACAGGGGGGCAGCAGGGGGCTTGCTGCCACGGAGCCGGTCTCTGCTGCCAGAGACATAAACACAACCACTTTGGGGAAGAAAGTTGCAAAGCTGTTCCTAGACCCCAAAACCAGAAGAAAACGAATTCTCTCCATATTCATGCTCATCCCCACTGTCATGTATTTGCATTTGATAGCTCTGCAAGTATCCAGAGGTTGATTTTTAGACAACTGTGGTACTTGCATGCAGGAAGGGCAATTTTCACCCGGTATGCCTTAGCCCAGCACAGCTTATCTCCAGCTGTGGTTTGGGGAAGCGTTACTTTTGCAGGCAGCATGGAGCACATGATACCAGGCAATCATGGGACATGAAGCGATAAAGGTGGAGTGGTGGCTCACAAACAACTCAGAACAGCCAAGTGTGTCCATTATGATATTAATTATAATCCCATTTAAAGTTAACTTCTGCCTCTCCAGGAACTTTAATGAGGCCACATTTCTCTTAACATTTCTCTTACCAGCTCCTGGCTGTGTGCTGTGAGCTGTGCTCCAGCCAGGCCCTGGAGAGCAGACAGCAGAGCCAGGCTGTCATTCCTGCCTTTTGGGGGACTCATTCATCATGGTTTTAAAAGAGAGGGAGAGTGGGCAAAACAAAAACTTTTCATGGCAGCTCTTGTGTCTGAAAAAAACTGTAGGTTGAATGTGTACTTCAGAGCAGTACCTCCCTTTTTCCTGACAAGTTGTTGGCTGTTTCAGGAATAACTTCTCTGGATGGGGAGGGGGCTGCCCTTAGCAAAGACACACACTGGCCAAGTGTGACATCTGACCCATGTGTGAGTGAAGGAACAGTCATCCTCATGGTCTCAAGTGTTAGCGTGGACTGAGCATGGTTTGGAGAGATGAGGCTTACAGAAAATAAGGTTAATAAGTGTTAAAAAGCCCGAGAGAAGCCAGAAACTGGTGAGGTGGAAATCCCATTCAGTGTGCTCACATGGGGCTCCCCTTTACACATAAATCCTCAGGACAGATCTAACACCAGCCAAGCTGTCGTTGAAGCTGATGGACCTATTTGGCTCCTTCCTCCTGCTGCAGATCCAGCTTACTGACTCTTTCATTTTTGAGCCATGGTCCCCATTTGTCTTTATATCCTGAGCACATAATTAGCTGGAAAAGCTATGATCTGGTCTCTGTCGCATTGGAGTGAATCCAGAATAGCATCAACACCTTACCCCAGGTAGATGGCAGGCACCTGAGCCCAGAGCATGTCCCCAGAGATGGCACCAGACAGGGACAGTAATTGTCCTACTGCTTCCCCCAAACAGGGACAAGAGATTTGACATGGACTACACTCTGGAGGCCAGCCAGCAAAAGGAAAAGCTTCTAAAAACCATCTATACCCTCCAGCTGAAGTCCATTGCCATGCTCCAGACAGCCAGCCCGCTGCTGAGCAGCCAGCGTGGCATGGGCATGGTGACAGAGCACCAAGTCCACCAGCTGGCAGATAAGGCCAAAAGCCTATGCAGAGATCTGGACAACATTAAGAACCTCCTCCACTATTGCCAGGACAACCTGGTCCAGCAGATTCCCAACCCCACCGGCAGCCGCTATGGGGGAGTAAGTGGAATTCACTGCTCCCTGGATGGCTCCATCTATGTGACAGCTGAGAGTGCTCCCTGGGTCCACAGCCTCAGCACCACAGGCCAAATTCTGCGGTCTCTGCCCTGCCAGCAAACAGGGTTGGAAGGCGGCACTTTCTTGCCAGAAGATGTGACTGTGACTCGGACAGGAATGGTGGCTGTAGCTGACATGATGAATGGAGCCATTTGGATCTTCAACCCTCACACCAGCCTCTCCAAGGGGGAATGGATAAAGATCAGAAAGGTTGGTTCCCCCAGGGGTATTGGAGTAGACTCCATGGGCAAGATCTTGGTAGCAGACTATGCACAAGGCCAAGTCCACAGCTTTGCTCTGGACCATGCCTTCAAGATGCTCAATATCCAGTCAGTTGCCAACCTGCAGGGACCTCGCTACATCAGTCCAGCACCCAACGGAGGTTTCGTGGTAAGCGAGGAGTGTGGAGACGTCAAGGTCTTCATGAGCAGCCGTAAGCTCCTCTGCTCCCTCAGCAGCAAATACGGACACCAGTTTGGCAACCCAGCTGGGGTCTGCGTTGATGCGGATGGCAGCATCCTGGTGGCAGATGAGCAGCGCCGTACAGTCCACTTGTTCCCAGAGCATGGGGCTCCCATCTGCCTGGTGTCCGCGGGGCTGCGGAGGCCCACTGGCGTGGCTTGTTCCTCTTTTGGACACCTCTTTGTGGCAGACACAGGGGAGAACTGTGTCAAAGTCTTCAAGTACTGCGTGAGGCCCCCTTACAGCCACACCAACCCTGGGGCACCGTGTGGTGACCCCAGCCTAAGACCCAGGCGGGGAGTGGGGTTGGTTCCACAGCAACTCCGCTGAGCTTTGGGTCTGATGGTGAGCTGTGGGCTCCACTGCTCCCATAGCTGGGCACTGTTCCTGTACTTGACTGCCTTATTGCCCTCCAGCTTCTCCAGGTGGCAGAAGCAAGGGCTAGACCATCCCTTGGACCCATACAAGTCGCTAAAGGAGGACCAGGTTACTCAGAACAGGCCACACGTTGGTGCCTTGTCAAATTTGTTATCACCAGGCTCTTGAATTTTTTGCAGAGATAATATAAATATTTGTCTTCCACACATCGTTTTTATGTGGCCATGGTTCCACCTTCCTGATGCCAGAGGATGACTGGGGGAGGTAAGGCCAGGCGGGAGCTGGCAGCCTGGCCTGTCTGGCACGCTGGGTTTGCAGCAGGCTTCAGGAGAATGGGAAAATGAAGGTAACTCATTCTCTGCAGCATTCCTGACCTCTGCAGGGAAGCAACAGCTACTGCACGGAGTAGAATGAATGTAGGCACGTAGAATTGCTCACACCAGCCCACGTCCTGGGGCTGAGCCTGCCCGGCCGAACTGTTCTCCCCGTGGAGAGGGCTCAGGGGGCCACAGCCGCTGCCTTTATCAGCAGAGGCCAGGGGGAACGGGCGGGGTGTGGTGGCAGAGGGAAGGGCGTTTTCCTCTCCCTGCTCCAGCCCTCGGTGCGGGCACGTAGCTGCAGGACTCCTCGGCCTCTGCCAGTGTGCGAGACCTGAGTCCAGTCACCACCTCTCACCCCAAACGAACTCCAGAGAGGACCCTTTCTCCTTACTGGCCCTGAGACAAGCGCTAAAGTCGATGGAGCCTTCCCAGAGCCCTTCTCCCTGCAAAGCCAGGCAGCCTGGGAGCAAGCCCGGGGGAGGGAGCCTGTGTGGTCTTCAGGAACAGGGTTAAGCCTGTTCCATCCCCACACTTCACCTGAGCTCCCAGAAAACAGAATCACAGAATCATCAAGGTTGGAAAAGCCCTTGAAGCTCCTCCAGTCCAACCATGAACCTCACCTTGACCGTTCCCAACTCCACCAGATCCCTCAGCACTGGCTCAGCCCGACTCTTCAACCCCTCCAGGGATGGGGACTCCCCCCCTGCCCTGGGCAGCCCATTCCAACGCCCAACAACCCCTTCTGCAAAGAAATGCTTCCTAATATCTAGTCTAAACCTTCCTTGGCACAGCTTGAGGTCATTCCCTCTTGTTCTATCGCTTGTGAAAACCAGTCTTCTCCCACCTTGTTTCCAATTCTGTGGCACCCAATCAAAAAAATCCTAAACCTCTTCTTTGGCCCATCCCTGTGTGACCTGCACCCCCACCTCTGCACTTTCTCTCCCTTTCTGTGTGGGACCCCTCAAGTTGCCCAGTGAGCTCGCTGGCACCCTCACGGCCCCGACCCGCTGCGGGGTCACAGGAGGGAAAGCTCCAGGCACCGGCATCTGCACCCAGGGGCCTCTGCCAGGCCGGGGGCCTGCTGAGACAGCGGGGATGGGGACAACGGGGTCCCGTGGGGAAAGGCGAGTCCCTGGCCTCGCCCCAGGCGCGGGTGATGGCACGTCTGGGGGCTGGGCGAGCTGGCGCTCCTTATCGGCCGGCTCAACCGGGGCCCCGCCGCCTCTCGTTGTGTTGTTGCT